GAGCAAACTTGTCTTTAGGTAGGCCTTGATTATGCACGTAGCAAAGACAACCAAAAACTCTCAAATGCTCATAATATGGTGGTTCGGAAAATAAAAGTTCATATGGTGTTTTACCTGAAAGCTTTGGTGTTGGGGTATAATTAATGAGGTAAGCCGATCCCCCCAAAATTTAATGGGTAATTGAGCTTGGAAGCGTAAAGCTCTTGCAACCTGCAATAGGTGGCGGTTTTTACACTCAACAACCCCATTTTGTTGAGGAGAATAAACACAAGAGGTTTGATGTAAAATGCCATTTGTATGAAAGAAATTTAACATGCGACATGAGGTGAATTCTAATGCATTATCATTCCTCACTTGCTTAATAGTGCAATTTGATAAGTTGAATTTGTATACATATTAATGTGGAATTGTTGCCTTGATGTTATTGATATTTGGATGAATTTTATGAGATTTTACTGAGTTTTACATGGTTTTCATTCTTTGAGCAGAAAAGGACTTGAATACATAAAAGAAGAGTTTTTGGGATTAATTGAATATCTTTTGAAAGTTAAGGGACTGAATTGCAAGAAGAAGGGCGCTTCTTTGGGACCTTAAAGAATGACTCTTGAGTTTTGGGATCTAAGTACTCATTGTACAAAAGTTGGAGGACAGATCTGTCATTTTACCATTAAAGAAATTGTGAAAGAAGGTTAGAAACCCAACATGAGTGTAGTGTCGACACATAATTTGGGTGTCGACACCATGCATTAATTGCCCAGAATCAAACTTTCTGTTTTCTGTTTTGTGTTGACACGTAATTCGGGGTGTCAGTACCATACGTTCAGCGTCCAACATTCAAGTTTTTTATTCTATTTCAAATCCTACTTCTATTTTAATTAGGGTTTCTAAAACTTTATAAATATCTATCCAAATTCAGAATTAACAGAGTTTGGTGGAGGTTGGTGGCAGCCCTCGTTTGGGCATTATTGGAGATCAAGATAGAGATTCCATCAACAATAGAAGATCAAGGAGTTCGATTTCCTTAAATTGGGTTTTGTTTTTCCTTGCATTTTTATCTATTGTTTGATATTTGAATGTTCATAACTATAATTTCGGATTTTATTATTTTTATTATGAACTAATTTATTCTACTAGGGTTATGATGTAACCTAATAAATTCAATATAGATTTTGTGATTTTATGCTTTCAATTAAAGTTATTTGCATGAGGAGTTTATATTATTGAACTTAATGCATTGGAAGTCTGATAATCTTTCAATTGATTTAGTGATTTATGCATGAACTTGAGAAAGAATTGTGTAGATTAGACCAATAATAATATAAACTATGTGTTAGACTGTGAAACCGAGAGGTAATTAACTCACATGTGATAGTGGAGGAAGAGAAGAGAGTTAGGAGCTCCCCCTTCTTAAGCTAGAAGTTTTCATAGAATTTAATACTCATTAGTTTGTTTAAAATTACATAGAGATATGATTAATTTAACAAACAAGTGAAGGATTAGCTTGATTTAAGAAAGCTGGTTAATTAATTTAGGGAAATCCGCCATCACATGCAATAACACTCAACAATTTAGTAATCCAAAATTTATATTGATTGATTATGGTGAAGTCAATGCCTTAATATCTCATATCTTGGTTAGTTTTATTTTAATTATTAGTTTTTTGTTATTATTTTTAATTAAAGTTTCTTCCTATTTGATTGTTCAAATAAATTTAGATTAATTATTTTTGTACTTAATTAGACATAATCCTCGTGGGTTCGACACTCTCTCATTATCATATTACTTGGAGCGACTAGTTCACTTGTTAGGGTGATTTTAGTGCATCAAGTTTTTGGCGCTGTTGCTGGGAACTAGTCATTTACATATTAAGATTAATGATATGGCCTTAGATTGAATTTTTTTTTTCTTGTTCTAGATTTGATTAGTTGGTTCTTTTTGTTTTAAGCAATTAGTAGTTGATTTGCATATTTTATAGTCTAATTTGTTTTTCGTTTTTATTATTTATTTATCTTAGTTTTTTTATTATTATTTTTTTATTTTGCGAGGATAGTAATGCGTGACCCATGGTAGTGGTAGAGACCTTGTCCCATTTGACCTTGAAATTGAGAGAACTTTTAGGGAGTTTTCAAGAGAGCAAAAGCAGAACATCATGGCAGAAGAAGGCGAAGGACAAAATAATGCACGCACTCTTAGTTCGTATGTCACCCTGTCCATTGAAGGAATAACATCCAGCATTAGGAGGCCAACGATTCAAGCCAATAATTTTGAAATCAAACCATCTATCATTCAAATGGTCCAACAAACTGTTCAATTCAGTGGTTTGCCTAATGAAAATCCTTATTTGCATATTATTAATTTTCTTGAAATTTGTGATACTTTTAAGTATAATGGTGTTAGTAATGATGCTGTTAGGCTTACATTATTCCCATTCTCTTTGCGTGATAAAGCCAAGAGTTGGCTTAAATCTTTTCCTGTAGATCATTTTACCATATGGGATGTTTTGGTAGAAAACTTCTGAGATAAATTTTTTCCTCCTTCGAAAACAGCTAAGATGAGAAATGACATTACTACTTTTGTTCAATTTGATTATGAGTCATTATATGAGGCATGGGAAAGATTTAAGGAATTGCTTAGGCAATGTCCAAATCATGGTTTACCTACTTGGCTCAAAGTGCAGACTTTTTATAATGGTATGACTCCTCCTAATCATTCTATAATTGATGCAGCTGCAGGGGGTAATCTTATGAATAAGACAACGGAGGAAGGTTATAATGTGTTGGATGAAATGGCCTCTAATAGCTATCAATGGACTAATGATAGAGTTACCAAAAAGGGAGTTGGTTTACATAATGTTGATGCTTTTACTTCCTTATCTGCTCAAATTTCTGTTTTGAATAAAAAGTTAGATAGTTTAGGAGCGTCAGCAATGAGTATTTCATCTAATAGTTGCTATGAATTGTGTGGGCAATTTGGTCATGCTAGTGTTGAATGTCAAGTAGGCAATTCAGTTCAATCTTCTAATGAGAAAACTAATTTTGTTTCTTCTAGTGGTAGGTCTAATTTTAATCCATACTCCAATACCTACAATCCAGGGTGGAGGAGCTATCCTAATTTTTCATGGAGTAATAATCAAGTTATAGTACCACTAGGTTTTCAGCAACAAAATCAACAAGAAAAGAAACCAAATTTAGAGGAGTTGGTGCACAAATTTGTTAGTAGTACAGAATCACGGTTTCAAAATCAGGAAATAAGGTTTCAAAATCAAGATGCTGCTATTTGGAATATAGAAACGCAACTTGGATAGATTGCTGATATGGTTTCTGGAAGAGTTCAAGGGGGTTTGCCAAGTAATAGTGAAAAGAATCCAAGGGAGCAATTGAAGGCTATCACTTTGACGAGTGGAAAAGAACTTAAAGAGGTAGGACAATCTGATGGGAAAGAAAAAGTTGTGGAAGCTGGTGAATCGAAGCAAGAGGAGGAGCCTAAAAGACTTTTTCATGATCTGAATATCAAGCCTTACAAGCCCAAAATCCCTTTTCCTCAAAGATTTTGCAAGCTAATTTAGACAAGCAGTTTTCTAAATTTTTAGAGGTGTTTAAAAAGTTACATATTAATATTCCTCTTATTGATGCAATTTCGCAAATGCCAAGTTATGCAAAATTTTTGAAGGAGATCCTTGCCAATAAAAGGAAGTTAGAGGAGTTCGAGATGGTGAAGTTAAATGAAAAATGCTTTGCCATTCTTCAGAATAAGTTACCTCCTAAGTTGAAGGATCCAGGGAGTTTTTCTATACCTTGTATTATTGGCAATGTTAATTTTGATAAGGCTTTATGTAATTTGGGTGCTAGCATTAATTTGATACCTTTTCATGTATTTAGGAAATTTGGATTAGGAGAACCTTCACCTACTACAGTTTCTCTTCAATTGGCAGATATGAGTGATGAGCTAAATTTATATACATATTAATAGGAAATTTTTACTTTGATATTATTGATATTTGGATGAGTCTTATAGGATTTTGTTTGATTTTACATGGTTTTCATTCTTTGTGTAGGAAAAGATTTAATTGGAAGAAATCTTATTTTTTAGAAGTAAATTGAAGAGATCAGAGACTTGAGGATCAACTTGTGTAGAATCCAAAAGTCAGGAACCAAATCTGCTATTTTACCATTGAAGAAATTGCAAAAGGAGAGCAGAAACCCAACACGGGGTGTAGTGTCGACACATGATCTGGGTGTCGACACTATGCGCTAAATGTCTAGATTCTGTTTCCTAGTTTGTATCAACACGTAATCTGAAGTGTCAGCACCACGCGATCAGCATCCAAAATTTAGTTTTCTATTTCTGTTCTAAGTCCTACTTCTATTTCAATTAGGGTTTCTAAAATCTTATAAATACCCATCCAAATTCAGAATTAAAGAGAGCTTTGGGAGGCTTGTGGCAGCCATTTTTTGGGTATTCTTCGAGGTTAAGATAGAGGATTCAACAATAGGAGATCAAGGATTGCAATTCTCTCAAATTGAGTTTTATTCTTTCTTGTTCATAACTATGATTGTAGATTTTATTATTTTTATTATGAACTGATTTATTCTACTAGGGCTACGATGTAGCCTAATCAATTCAATATGGATTTTGTGATTTTATTCTTTCAATTAAAGTTATTCGCATGAGGAGTTGATATTATTGAACTTAATGCATTGGAAGCCTGATCATCTTTCAATTGATTTAGTGATTTATGCATGAACTTGAGAAAGAATTGCATAAATTAGACCAATAATAATATAAACCGTGTGCTAGACTCTGAGACCGAGAGGTAATTAGCTCACATGTGGTAGTGGAGGAAGAGAAGAGAGTTAGGAGCCCCCCCTTTTTAAGTTAGAGGTTTCTATAGAATTTAATGCTCATTAGTTTATTTAAAATTACATAGAGATATGATTAATTTAACAAATTAGTGAAGGATTAACTTGACTTGAGAAAGCTAGTTAATTAATTTAGGGAAATCCGCCATCGAATGCAATAACACTTAATAAATTAGTTTTGAAAGTATATTAATCCATAATTTATATTGATTGATTATGGTGAAATCAATGCCTTAGTACCTCCTATCTTGATTAGGTTTAATTTAATTGTTATTTTTCTTTTATTACTTTTTTAGTTAAACTTTCTTCCCATTTGGTTGTTCAAATAAATTTGGATTAATTATTTTGGTATTTAGTTAGACACAATCCTTACTCTTCTCATCATTATATTACTTGAAGCGACTAGTACACTTGCTAGAGTGACTTTAGTGCATCAAGTTTTTGACGCCATTGGTGGGGATTGTTGATTTAATTAATATCGAAGTTGGTTAATTTTAGGTTTAATTTGAACGTTTGCTTTTCTTTTATTTCTTTACTTTGATTTTTTTTTTGTTTCTTTTGTTTTTGTTTTTGTAGGTCTAACTATGGATCCAGTTGTCTTAAACACTGATGTGGATTATCAATGGCTTGCGCTGGAGATGAGGGCACAAGTTGAAGCAGTAATTATCTTGCTAGCAGAAATTGACGATGATGAACTTGAACGATTTC